ACCCTTGACTTGGTGTTGTCAGCACCACGTTCCCCCAAGTGAGCAAAGGGCTGGCTCAAGATTTCTCATTCTTGTCATTTGTTTTGTTGTTGTTGTTGTTGTTGTTGTTTTCACTCTTGGGATTGAACATCTTTCCATGTCTTTAGAAGCTGTTTGTAATTCTTTTGCAAAGTACCTGTTTATGTCCTTTGCCCATTTTCTTATTTTCTTCCTATTCTTTCTTTTCTCTCCAGTGCCTCTGCAGAAATGTGAGACCCATGATGAATTGCCTCTGAACACTGGGCTGTTTATCTTGTTCTTATTTATTTATAGAAGCTCTTTGCATATTAGGGATATTAACTCTTTGACATACAACTTGTTTCCTCCAGATTTTTTGTCTTTTGACTTTAAATAACTGTGCGTGGGAGGGGGTTAGTACAAAGGTTTAAAATTTTAGTCATACTCATCAATATTTTCATCCATGGTTTCTGATCTTGGTAACATGCTTAGAAAAGCCTTCCTTTTCCCACAGTTAAACATTTTAGTTGCTTTTAATGCTCTTATAATTTTACATTCCACATTAGGTTTTGATACAGCTGGAAGATAGTGTAAAGAGTGGAATTAAGATTGGTACTTACATTTTTTTCCTCCAATGGTTCTCGACATCATGAATTGAAGCATGCAATGGTTCGTCATCCCAGGGTTTCATCATCGGAGGTTTTTACAAAAGCTAGATTTTATGTTAGGATCTTTGGAAACCTTCGTGAAGGTTGAATCTCTGGGAATGGCTTATTTTAAGGTATTTGGATATTAAAAGGTCTTTGGAAAGGTCTCTTTGGGATGGCTTGCTCTTGTAGAGTCTTAGGGGATATTTGTCATCCTGGTGTCTTTGGTAGAGTTTCCTGGATGGCTGTTATTGTAGGGTTTCAAGTAATGACTGTTATTGCAGGCCCTCAGAGATGTTTAATTTGTCATTATATGCTATTGGGGAAAGTGTATTATAGAGGGTCTCAAGGAAGGGCAGCTTAACTGTCAATGTCCTCTTTCCCTGCAGGATCCCTCTTCGCCGAGTCCAGCCTGGAAGCAGGACCTTGAGCTCACTGAGGGGATGGAGAGAGCCAGTAAAAGCCCCCAGGTTGGGGCCCCCATCCCCTGGGGACAAGCCCAGCTTTGTGCCTCTCTCTAACTACCTGAATGTAAGTCAAGCCCCACATCGCCCCAACTTTATTCTCTTAAGCCAAACTCTTCATTTTCCCTGTCTCCTGTTTTGCCATTAGGTCCAGTATTTTGGGGAAATTGGGCTGGGGACGCCTCCACAAAACTTCTCTGTTGTCTTTGACACTGGCTCCTCCAATCTCTGGGTCCCGTCCAGGAGATGCCATTTCTTCAGTGTGCCTTGCTGTGAGCTATCATGGGGGAGAATAAGGCTGAATGGGGGTGAGGGGAGAGGAAGGGGCTAGGCCTCAGTTTCCTAAAGGTTTCTGAGGCATCCTTCTCTTCTGATGCCCTCACAGGTGATAAGGTCAAAGGGGCAGGAGGCACTGGGGAGACTCCCATCCCCCAGTGACACCGCTCTGATATTCTGACCTAGGGTTTCACCACCGCTTTGATTCCAAAGCTTCCAGCTCCTTCCGGCCCAATGGAACCAAGTTTGACATTCAATATGGATCTGGGAGGCTAAATGGAATCCTGAGTGAGGACAAGCTGACTGTGCGTGACATTCACCCCAAGAAGGCTTGAGCTTGGGAGAATCCCAATATCTGAGATCATCTAGCCTAGAGAGAGGCTTGAGAAGGCAGTGCTTCCTGGGCAAACGGATGGAGCTTATCAAGTGGGGAGGAGGGGCTTCCTGAGTAAAGGGGTGGGGATTCTCAGGGGAGGCGGGGCTTCCTGCGTGATGGGGTGGGGATTCTCAAGGGAGGCGGGGCTTCCTGAGTAAAGGGGTGGAGGGGTGGGGATTCTCAAGGGAGGCGGGGCTTCCTGAGTAAAGGGGATGGGGCTTATCAAGTGGGGAGGCAGGGCTTCCTGCATGATGGGGCAGGACTTCCTGGGTGAAGGACTGGGGCTTCTCAAAAAGGGAAGCAAAGTTTCTTAGGCAGTTCGGACTTGTTTCCAAATGTCCCCATACCTGGGATTCATGCCTTAGTTTGCGGGGTCTCAGGGATATGTAGGTAATGTCCTCCCAGAAGTAAATGTCCCCATCTCAATCTACTCCTAGATTGGGGGAATCAAGGGTGCATCAGTGATTTTCGGGGAGGCTCTGTGGGAGCCCAGCCTGTCCTTCATTTTTGCCCACTTCGACGGGATATTGGGCCTCGGTTTTCCCATTCTGGCTGTGGAAGGAGTTCAGCCCCCGCTGGATATGATGGTGGAACAGGGGCTACTGGATAACCCTGTCTTCTCCTTTTACCTCAACAGGTATTGGGGGAGGGTCTCCCTATCTATGAGTCCTAGACCCAAGAAGGAAGATCTGCCTTCCTTCAGGAAGTCCCTTACCCAATGGAGAAGTACCCACCCTTCTTTCAGAAAGTCACCCACCCAACACAGGAAGTTCCATCCTCCTTTCAGGAAGTCTCCTACCCAATATAAGAAACACCTGAACCCTATTCAGAAGTCCCACAACTTAAGCGATAACTTAAGACATAGTAAAGAAACTTACCATCAGTTCAAAATGTCCCATGTTTCAAAATCAGACCAGGAAATTCTATGTTCCACCCGATCAAATACTCAACTTTGAAACCCTCTCTTCAATATAAAGAAAGTTCAAATTCCACTTGAGAACACTCACCAGAAGCCAGGAATTGCCCGTTTTAATCCAGGAAGTCCAACCCACCTTTTGGGAGGTCAACATTATAATCAGAAAGTCCCACCCACCATCCAAGAAGTCTCCACCATCCCTTCCAGAGGCCAATCACCCAAAGTGAGAAAAATCCTATGCCCACTTAGTTACTCAGACATCCAGCCCACTCTGAAACTACCACCTACCCCTTAGTATATCCTGCCCTCCTACACCTTCCAGGAAGTCCCCACCCTCTCTTGCCCTCACTCCCAGCCAACTCAAGAAGCCTAAGTCCTCTCTAAATAACAGGACACGCAATTCAGAAAGCCTCACCACTACCCAGAAAGCCACCCCACTCCTACACAAGTCACACCTTCTAGAGCCAATTCAGAAACACAAATATTCTGCTTGGTTACTATGACATTGAGCTCAGGAAATTTCCCCCCAAAAGTTCTAACTTCTACAGCCAAATCAAGTAGTCCCATCCCCACTTCAGGGAGTCCCTAACACCCTAAAGTCCTAACCTCCATCAAGAACATCACCATTTCTCTTCACTTCTTGCTTTGCTTCCAGTCCCAACATCTAGGCCTTGCCTGCATTTCACTACCCCACCTAGAATCTGGAAACGACCCAACTGGCAGGAAGTCCCATCCCTGGCCATTCCTGGGGCTGGCAGGGGGGACGCTAGTGACACTGACAGCACTCTGCCTCTGCAGGGACCCTGAAGTGACTGATGGAGGAGAGCTGGTCCTGGGGGGCTCAGACCCCACACACTACATCCCACCCCTCACCTTTGTGCCAGTCACAGTCCCCGCCTACTGGCAGATCCACATGGAGCGGTGAGGGGCTTGGCCTCCTGGGTCTGGAGCTGGGGGCTGGGGGCCTGGACTCCTAGGACCCTGCCTCTAATGAATGCCCCCTTCCCCTTCGCAGTGTGAAGGTGGGCACAGGGCTGACTCTCTGTGCCCAAGGCTGTGCTGCCATCTTGGACACAGGGACATCCCTCATCACAGGACCTACGGAGGAGATCCAGGCCCTGAATGCAGCCATTGGGGGAATTCCAGTGCTGCCTGGGGAGGTAAGGCCCCAGTCCCTCGTGGGTGTAGACTGGGAGGCTGTTGGGAACTTGATGGTGGACACTGGGAAGGATGCTGGGGCCCGAGGGTGGGAAGCAGGTAGCGAGGAGGTATGCGAGGGCAGAAGGGACTGGACCTAGTGAGTGACAGATGGGAGGGTATTGGGAGGAGCCAAGTACACCTCCCAGTGTCCACTCTGAGGGGCTCACCGGATGGTGGTGCTAGGGGTTGGGGGGAGGAATGATAATGCAGGTTTATTTAGGACTGGATGACAGAAGCCTAGACGACAGGGCCTGTCCACACAAGGCCTGAATACCTAGCTGCCCAATATGGACATTACCCCATGGCACAGGAGATCTATGGAAGAGATTTAAGCACGGCAGAGATCTCCCATCTTTACTTGTTCCTTGTCTCTTCTCCCTCAGTACCTCATCCAGTGCTCAGAAATCCCAAAGCTCCCCCAAGTCTCCCTCCTCCTTGGGGGGGTCTGGTTTAACCTCACGGCCCAGGATTACGTCATCCAGGTAGGTGGCCGTCATAATGACGTCAGAGAGACGTCATATGACTGGGTTTGAGAGGGTGGAGCTAAAGTGAGACATCACCAGGACAGGGTAGGGACCACAGACACATTTCTTGTTCCCAGGATAGGGGAGTGGGAGGGAGTGTGCAAAGAAAGCACTGACTCCCAGGGAACTGGTGCTCCCGTAGGGCGTGACACCCAGTGGCCCTATGATCGCCTTGCAGATTGCTCGAGGTGGCATCCACCTCTGCGTGTCCGGCTTCCAGGCCTTGGACTTGCCTCCGCCCGCAGAGCCCTGCTGGATCCTCGGCGACGTCTTCTTGGGGTCCTACGTGGCTGTCTTCGACCGCGGGGACATGAAGAGCGGTGCCCGCGTGGGCCTGGCGCGCGCTCGCTCTCGCGGAGCGTGAGGGGGAGGGGCGGCCCGAGCACGCGCAGTCCCCGGAGGAAGCCCCGCTTGGGCGCATGTGCGCCGCCGAAACCCGCTGTTGACCTGGGTTACTTCTTTTAAGCGCGTGATTTTTTTTTTTTTTTTTTTTAATAAAAACTAGTGCCTAGACCTTCGGAGCTGAGGAAGAGAGGGAGGCAAAGGGTGCAGCCCCTTTCTCTAGGTCTGACTGGTGAGGGGATCTTAGATGACGAACCCATGACGCCCCGTGCCCACACCGCACCTCCTCGGAGGCGTCCCGCACACGAGAGCATCACGGACCTTGTAGTCTACGCCGCGCTCACGCCCCGGCGGGGGCCGGCGCAGCCACAACATGTATGGGAGGCGACAGGTCGCGACGGCAGCGACAGGTGACAGTGCGGGTGGCTGCAATCAGTACAGGTTTTCCCAGCCCTTGTTCTAAGGGGGAGGATGCCACTCCCGCGGACCTCATCTTCTGCTTCTCCTCTGCCTTCTGGGGATTCCAGGATCCCCGGGTCCGCCATAAAGGCGGAGCTTGAAGCCCCGGCTTGGGGGGAGCGGGGCTGCCCCTCCTCCGGCGGTGATGTCACTCCCCCCTCCGCAGCTTCTTGCCGCCCAGAGCGGACGGGCTGGGTCACCCCTCCCCCCATCGCCAGCCCGGGATCCCCCCATACCCGCCTCGCCTCGACTTGGGGTGAGTACGGGGTACGGGGCGAAGGTTCAGGGTCCGGGTGCGGTAAGAGCCCAAATCCCAGTTTTGGAGGCAGGGAGCTCGGGAGTCGGGGACCCAGTATTACTGCGGAGAGATGCCCCTGGACTCCGAGCTTTCGGGGCCAAGGTACTTGAAGGGTCTCAGAGGTCCAAGGATCGTAGGCGAGGAGTCTCCATATGCTCAGTTTTAGTGTCCAGAGACGCCCTTTCCTGAATTTGAAACTGATGGGAATGAGGGCAGAGGAACAAGGAAGGGTTCTAGACGTCAGGGAGGGGAAGACCCTCCCCCAATTCCAGGGCCTTGGGGAATGAAGGAAGGAGTAATGGAAGGGGACGCCAAGGTGGACGGAGGTGGGAGTTGGGAGGTTTCAGGAATTTTGTGCCTCGGGAGCCTGGGAAAGGATCGATAGGGGAGGAGCAGGGGTGGGGAAAGGACCTGAAGATGGGGACAGACATTGGCTTCTCTCCTCCTGGTGTCCCTTGCCAAAAATCGAGTCCACTTCCCCCTGATCTGTGAACATAGCCAGGTGTCCCGTAACCCAAGCCCCCATCATGCATCCAGAAGCTACCTCCTCTCTAATGGACGGGTGGAGAATCCAGGCTCCCTAATTCCCCACAAGCCCTGGTGGGGCCTGGGGAGGGCCACGAGGGAGTGACGGCTTTCGATTTCCAAGGGCCTGATAAAGTCTGGACAATTCTGTTACTTCCTTGCCTGCTACCTCTCCCCACCTCCCATGGTCTCCAATCCTGAGTCTCATATCATATTCTCATCAATTCCAGCCCCTTTTCCCCCACCTGCCCCCACCTTCTCCCACACCTTCTGACCTCTGCAAAAACGCTGATTTGGTAACTTGATCCCATGCCTGGCTGCCGTCAAAGCAGAAAAGAAAAGTGTGTGTATGGGGAGGGGAGGGATAAGGAAGATGGCTGATTTAAGTCCTTAGTCTAGCCCCTACTCCCAGCCCTTAGTGCCTACCCAACCCCTGTTCCAGCCTCCAGTCCAACTTGCCCAGGAGCCTCACTCAACCCAGCCCAGTCCCTCACCTCAAGACTCACTGCAGCCTGGGGTACACCAGAATTCGAGGCAGAGAGGGGTTGGAAGAGCCGATGTCTTTTTTCTGCCCTCGTGGATCCCATCAGAGATTTGAGGGCTGCCCGAGGATCCTGGATTGAGGACATTGGGGAGCCCAGGGTCTGGGGAGTGAGGGAAACTACCTCCCTGTTATGCAAGACAGGCCCCACTTCTGCAACTCTCTCTGCAGTGACGCAGCCTCGAGTCCTGGCCAGGACGGGGGTTAGAGGGGTGGGGGCTGAGAGAGACAGAGACCCAGAGAGAGGGGATACAGACCCAGAAAGAGAGACAGAGACCCAGAACGGGGTGAGACACGGGGAGTGGGTGGATACCAGAGAGGACAGAGAGAAAGAGAAGAGGAAGAGACCGAGAGAGAGAGGAAAGACAGCTAGAAAGCGAAATTGCAGAAACAGAGGGAGTAAAGAGACGGAGGAGGGGGAAAATACACGGGGGAGATGGTACGGAAGGTCGACAGAGAAAAAGAGGGAGGAGACAGAGACCCAGCGAGGGGGCAGTGAAGGGGCAGAGACCTAGCGAGGGGGGACGATCCTGGGAGGAGGGGGCGGAGGACAGAGACACAAAGAGGGGGACAGAGACTCAAGGAGAGGGGGACAGAGACGCAGAGACAGAGGCATACCCCTGGAGGGAGAGGAGACAGGCATAGAGGGAAGAGGGGCAAAGACTCAAAAGGAGGGGGATAGATTCAGAGACCCAGAGGGAGAGCAGAGACTTAGAAAAGAGAGACCAGACATTCAGAGGGAGGGGGACAGAGATGGAGGGACAAATAGAGAAAGGAGAGGAAAACGAACACCGAGAAACACAAAAACGGGCGCGGGGGTGGAGTGGGGAGGCGATACGAACCGACCGCCGCACCTGCAGAGGGAGGCGGTGGGCCGGGGACCGTGCGTGGAGAGGATGCCTGCAGCCCCTGACCCGCCCCTTCCCTCCCACAGGCCCCGCCTCCTCCCTCCGCAGCTCCGGCCGCAGCCGCTGGCCCCGCCCCAGCCCCTGCGCCTGCGCCCTGCCTCGCAGAGGCTTGAACAGTCCAGGGGGCGGGGCCGGCCCGCTCCGAGGCGTTGTTCTGGCCCCGCCCCCAGCTCGCCATCTCCCCTCACCCCCACCGGGCCTCTGTGACACCTAACCCCGTCCCATTTGCCATTAGCCCCGCCCATTGTCTCAGTCTGGACCGTGCTTCCCGGAGCTTCGGCCTCTCCGCTCTCCCCTCCTCTCTGTCTCACTTCGTGCTCACTCCTCACCTGTTCTTATCCATCCCTCGGTCGTCCCATCTGCAGTCCGCCGTTGTCTAGGCTTCGTCCCCTATCCCACACCATTTGGGAGTTCTCGCCCCGCCCACTAAGGCCCCGCTGACCCTTAGTCAGGAACCTCTTCTAAGTTCTCTGACCCCCAAAAGTCCTCGTTCCACGTTCCTCCCCTACGTTCAGTCCGGCAGCTTTGCACCCTTTACAGGTCCCACTTGTCCCCTAGCGTCCCCCCCTCCCGTTCCTCTAGCCTCCCTTAGACCTGCCCCGCCCCCGCCTAACCTGGCTGCTTTCAAACCCCTTCAAGCACCCTCCTCCCTAGTCTCGCCTTCCTACGTCCCATTCAGGATGTTTTCTCGCACTCGTAGACCCCACCCACCTTCCTCAGTCTCGCCCCATCCATCCAGACACTCATTCTCCCGGCCCAGCCCCGTCTAGCCAAGCCAAGCTGGCAGCCTCGGCCCCGCCCCTTCTTTACCTCGCCCCCCGGCCTTGCTCATCTCCGCCCCTTCTCACCAGGACTCGGTCTCTGTTCCCGTCGCCTTGACGCCTTTCAGTCCAGCCTCGTGCCATTCCGCAAGAAAGTGATCCATCCCCAGTTCCCGCCCCTAGTTAATCCTGCACCCTCACTGTCCCAGTCCAATCAGGACTGTTTCTACTTTATTTGGCCGCGCCCCTTCTTAAGATACCCCCTGCCCCTCTTAAGAAATGTGAGTAGCCCACTCCGGCGCTCTCCATCTGCCCCTCCCCACCGGGTCCTGCCTGCCAGGGCTTTAGGTCCCAGCGTGCGATTCCTTGTTTCTCTCCGCCTTTTTCTCGGTCCAATCAGAACGGCCTCTCCCATTGTAGCTCCACCCCTCCCGGCCTGTCGGGCTCTTTTAAACAGTTTGGACTCGGCCCCTCCCTCTGTCCCGCACGTCCCTTTTTTCGGTTCCATCAGGTCGATCTCACATCTAGCCTCGCCTTCTCCTTTCTCCCAGTGCTGCCTAGCCAGGCAAAACTCACGGCCCGCCCTCCTTCGACTCCCCGCCCCTTCTCTCTGCTCTCTCAGAAAGATCCAATCGGTGTGCTTCGTTTGCAGCCTCGTCTCTTCCAGTTTGTTAGTGTTACAGTCCCAGCCCCGCCCCTCCCGGGCTTCAGCCCCGCCCCACCTCTCCTGGGCCAACCAATTCGGTTTCTCCTCCACTGCAGCTCCGCCCCCTCTGTCTTATCTCCTCCTCCCACCCAATCGTGTCCGTCTCTGTCTCTTACGGCCCCGCCCCATCCGTCCATCTCCTGCTCCCACCCAATCACATCTGTCTCTTCCCCAGCGTCCCCGCCCCTCACGGCTCCTCCCTCCCGCCCCGCCCCCCGTCCAATGCTGAGCTCAGTCTGCGTCTCGTCCTTCCGCGGGCGCCAGGGGGCCAGCAAGCAGCAGCC